CTGCCAACCTCCCCGCCTCTCCTCCACCCTCATGCGCACGCCGCCGCCGCGCCCCTGTAGCCTCCGCACAACAAGATTTGTGACCGAGAGCCGCCGCGCCCGCGCCCCGCCGCCGTCGTACCGCACCGCCGCAGGCCTGCCTCCAGCGGTACCGCCGGGCCAGCGGGGAGATCATGCGGCTGCTGCACACCCTGCTGCCCGGCTGCCTTTTTGAGAAGGCGCGTCCGCGCGTTGCACGTCTGCATGGGCGTGGGCTGCGCCTCGCCAGGGGCGCGCGGTTCATGCCTGAATGCGCGCGGCTGCGCCTTGCCGGTGCTTGGTGTGCTCTCACCATCTCTATCTGCCCTTACCGCGTGCTTGCTTCTGCAAGTTGCACCGTATATACTCATCTCGGCAGCTGCCTGCATTTTCAATGCGGATTTTGGCGTTCTTATGTTGTCGTTGAGCGCATGAACGGTCTATCACCGACGCAGGCATCCATTGACGAGGCATATGCTGACATCAGCAGGGTGGCAGCTGCCGAGCTGGCCAAGTTGCAGGCCGGCGGGCAGGAGGGCGCAGCCGCCGCGATGCGGCAGGTGGGCGGGCGCGCGGGCACGCGTCTTGCCCGACGGTCGCCACTGGTAGACAGCGCGCTTGCCTGCAATATCAGCAATACAGGTGTTCCGACGTCTGACTTCTCAATCCCAAGCGATCATGCACGTCTGATCTACCTCACACACAGACACGATTGCACCCCCATGTTCGCAGGCTGCTGAGTGCAGCTGCCTGGAGGGCGGCCCGCTGGAGCCCGACGCCGCCTGCGACGCACTGCTGGCCGCGGGCGCGCTGGTCGCGGCGCGTGTGCGCGCGCAGGTGCGGCGATCCGCGGGCTGTGGCAACGCGGCCCGCCAGTGGTTGACCGCCGCCATTTGAGGATCCAGCAGCAGCCACAGGTCAAACTCTGGTCATCACGCAGTCTGACTGACGGTGCTCCTCGATGAGGCTTGAGACACACAGTTCATGGTGCAGACAGAGATACAGTAGGTGTTTTTCTTCATTCCCGTTGTGTGTGAAACCCCGCACCCAGGTGCTGGAGCGCCTGGGCTTCACATGCAGCGCGGGCGTGGCGGGTGAGCCGCAGTGCGCCCGAGAAGCAGCGCGCCCCGCATTGCAGCCGACGTCATCGTGGCGCGGCACCCGCATCGATCAGCGCCTGCTTCCCCTTTTTTGGTGTCCGCCAGGCGCCCCTGCACAGCTCCGTGGTGCCCGGTGCACGTGAGTGCCGCCGGGTGGTGCCTCCGCACATGGCATTCAAGGACCCCAGCCAACGCTTGCTCCCCCGGCAGGCAACAAGCTGCTCGCCAAAATCGGCTCTGCGCGCAACAAGCCCAACAAGCAGACCGTGGTGCTGCCGCGCGGCGTCGCAGCGCTGATGCAGGCGCGCGCGTGCCGCACAGCCGGCGCGCTACACCGACAGGGATGCAACCAACAGCCACGAGCATGAATCCCACGAATGCCCTTTGCCCCCGTGTTTTTGGGTCCAAGATGGCGTATTCAATTGTGCAACAAGCTGCCACGCTCTAATGCGTGTGCAGGGCATGCCGCTGTCGAAGATTAAGGGCCTGGGCGGAAAGCTGGGGCAGCGGCTCACGGACGGCCTGGGCGCCACGGCCGCGGGCGAGGTGGCGGCGGCGCCTTGGCAGCAGCTGGTCGGGCTGCTGGAGGACCGCGCAAGGTGGGTCCCCTCTCACCCGATTCTGCTTCGTTTTCTTGCGACGATATCCTGCGTTTTGAGCTTTGCAGCCAGCCAAGGGTGACGGTGCGCAACCCGCCGCTCAGGGGCCGCCTGCCGCATAATTCACCTGCCTGAGCTGCGGTCTGCGCGCGAGCTCCGCTGCTCTGCTGCGATCGCAGTGGTTTACGGGCGTGTGCGCACGCCCGTTCGCACACGTGAGTGTGTGTTTGTATGTCTGTGATTAATGTGCAGCCGCGCCGCCCGCACGCAGGTGGGTGCTGGACACATGTCGTGGAGTGGACGACGAGCCCGTGACCCCCAAGGACAAGCCCAAGAGCCTCAACAGGCACGCCGCTCTGTCGAGCGCCAGCTGCGTTTTGGGGGGTGAATCGGTGGGGGACGCCTGAACGGGTGCCCTGGCAGCTTCGGGCGTTGGCTGCCGTTCGTCACGAATGCAGGCGGGTACGTTTCTCGTATTTTTTGTAGTTTAGGCAAAGTAAGGCGACGGAATGGCTCAACATGCCGCTATGACGTGACATGACATGTCCACCTGCTGACACATCACAATCCCCCGCCACTACCCCAGCTGCAAGTCGTTCGAGCCCACCAGCGACAAGGCCAAGCTGGCCGGCTGGATCAAGGCGCGCTGCTGAACAGTCGGTTTTGATGGGAGGCGCGGGAGTACGCCGCTGCATCCCACACTGCAGGGCGATATTGACAGCTTGGTCTTGCACAATCAGTCTGATTGCCTGATCTCGTTTGCTTTAATACATCTGCATTGTATGGCATCTAGTATATTCCTTTATAATAGTATATTTTTGCCATGTAAAATATCAGTGTGCATTCCCATTCATGGCCCCTGCAGGTCCTGTGTGAGGAGTTGGCTGAGAGGCTGGCGGAGGACGAAGACGAGAACAGGCGGCGCCCCAAGACACTGGGTGAGCCGCAGAGCGCACAGCCGCAGGCCGATGCTCGCGCTCGCGTGTCTCTCCGCTCGCCCCAAAGCCGCCGCACAGTCGTCCACGACTGGGGACCTTGACTGCTGCGTTTGTTGAGACACCACCCATTTGCCGCCTGGGAGCGCTGCAAATTCTTGTGAGGTTGTATGCAACTAAATTCTGGAGCGCCCGATCCCCACCCACCACTCCCACGCCCTGACCAGCGGCCCATCCACCACTCTTCCCTCTGATCCGCGGCCCTCCCCAGTACTGCAGTACCGAGGCGGCTCCGCCGCGCCCGCCGAGCGCTCCGTCCGCTGCGCCATGCCGCGCGGGCCGGCGCAGCCCACTCAGAAAGACGCCCCCGGCGGCAACGACCTCGCCGCCGCCCTCGCGGGGACCGCGCAGGGCATGCTGGGGCGCCTGACCGACGCGCTGCCCGCGGCGCGGCTGGCGCTGGCCGCGACCGACTTCATTGACTACGACGGCGGCAGCGCGCAGCTGCTCAGCAGGTTCCTCGCGGGCGCCGGGGCGGGGGCGGGGACGGCCGGCGGCGGCGGTAGGGCCGGGGGCGGCAGGACTGGGGGCAGCGACCCTTCACAGCTGTTGCAGGGCTTTGGTAATGTGGTTGCTGACGAGGCGCGTGGCAGCGCAGGCGCCTCGGCGCCGCACAATGCCGGGCAGTCGGGCGCGCGGAGACGGGACGGCGGCCCGGCCGGGGCGTCGGTGATGCAGCGGTTCCTATCCAGAGCTCCTGGTGGTGGGGGCCGCTTTGCCGTGGCTGCGGGCATCTGCAACTCTGGGGAACAGCAGGAGCAGCAACAGCAGCAACAGCAGCAACAGCAGCAACACGAGCAGCAGCAACAGCTGCAACAACAGCGACAGCCGCGGCAGCTGGACAAGGACATGCAGCAGCAGCATGGAAAGGACGAGGAGCACGTGCAGGGGCAGCAGCAGCAACAAGAGGAAGTAGAGCAGCAGCAGCAGCAGCAGCAGCAGCAGCAGCAGCAGCAGCAGCAGGAAGTAGTGGAGCAGCAGCAGCAGCAGCAGCAGCAGGAGCAGCAGCAGGAGGAGCAGGACAAGCAGCGGCGCTCGCATCCGCCAGATGACGGGCAGCTGGAGGTGGGGCCGTTTGTGAGCGTGATTTGTGTGAATGCGTGGGAGGAGGTGGGAGAGTGTCAGGATGTGGCGCCGGATGCAGCGTGGCAGGGCGAGCAACAGCAGCAGCAGCAGCAGCAGCAGCAAGATCAGCAGCAGCAGGATCCAGGGAGGGAGCACAGCAGTATGCCAGTGCAGCAGGCAAAGCACGTGCTCCACGCAGACGAGAGCGCGGCGTCGTTGCACACAAAACGACAGCGGCGGGCGGACACGGGCACAAGCACAGGCGCAGGCGAACACGGCAGCGCTCCTGGCGACGAGGGCACATGCGGCGGCACGGGCGAGCGAGCGGCGGGCGAGGGCAATGCTGCACCCGGGCCGGCAGGCGCAGTACTCCGCGAGGGCAGCAGTGGTGGCGGGGACGCCGCTGGGCCTGGGCCGAGCGAGCACGCGTACGATCTGTCCTCTGTGGACCTGGCGCAGCAGCGGAGCATACTGCATGATCTGCGGATCGCATCAATGCTGCAGGGCGGCCGCCAGCAGCAGCAACGAAACATGCAGCAGGGGCGGGGCCGCCAGCCGCCGCCGGGCGGCGGGCGGCGG